AGGCCCATGTCATGCAGGGAAATGTAAGATAGCACTATGTGTAGTAAAAGCCACCATGTGGTTTTCCACCTCATTAGCAGACAAAATACAATCGTCTACATATGACCATTATTATTACAAAGTGCCATCAAGTTGATTGCGACTCCTGGTGACCATACAGAGAGCATCCTTCCTCAAATTCCTGTCTTCTTTCAGGGTCTTCAGGCTTCTCAATGGTTTGTTCATGATTAACTCTGATCTGATTGTATCCATCCATCTTGTTGCTGGGTACGTCTTCCAAGCATAATTTGGAAAGTTTTTTCATTGATTTGGTTCATTTCAGAATATGTCCAAAATAAGAGAGCTTTAGTTTGGTTCTCTAGGCTTTGAATGAAAGGTGAGGCTTCATCTGGTCAACTATCCATTTGTTTTCTTGCTGTCCGAGGTACTCTCAAAAGTCTTTGTCAGCACCAGTTCAATGGCATCAATATTTTTTCCTGTCCAGCTTTTACATCTATAAAGAACCACAGAAAACGCCATAGCCTGGATAATTCTGATTTTGTTGTGAAGACACATCATTACATGTTAAGATCTTTCAATTGCCAATTGGTGTTGCACTTCTAGATCTTTTGTTGCTGTCCACCATATCTACATAATCTCCATCATTGCTAAAATTAACAATCTTTCCTGTTGTCATAACCTTTGTTTTCTTCTCATCTTTTGACTCTGTTCATAAACTTTCTTTATAAAGTCCTGTACGTATCATTTTTCTACCATGAGGGTAGTGTCAACACATCTGCACTCACAATTACATACAACTATATGTACCTATGAATGAAAATATGTAACATTATATATAACGAAAAGCAAAATATTATTAAACTCCACTTAAGTATTGTCATGATTTCTCATCTCTAATATCGTTGAGAACTTCCACAATCCACTGTTCTCGTACTGTGCTGATTTAGCCATATGTTAGACTTCATCTGTTTAAAGCTCTATTTCTTTTTACATAGAACATGTTACATGCGAGATATTGAACATACAACATAATAACATGGCTGCACTAATCTAATATTTGGTTTATTTTCCAGCCCCAGTATTAAAACCATGAGTATCTGCCAAAACGTCACAGATCCGACTTATATATATGTTTCAAAAAGAGCTATTTTTAAATGAAGCACTTCACTTAAGATGAGCATCTAAAAGTGGGTATCATGCTCATACAGTCCTTCCCACAGGAAGAAATACACAGCTGACAAGTTCACATAATGTAAGTGTGTGCTATTTCATGATAGATTTGTTACAGGATTGTATCAGTATTCATTCTTTTTTTTCCCATCGATATCCTGCTGATATTGGACTGATATTGATAACCAGTATCAGACTGGTGCCATTTCTATTCAGCTCTATTGATATCCCCATCAGAATACTTGTTTATTTGAGTGAAACTCATTACACAACTTCCCTAATTCAGTAAATCAAGGACCACGTCATTGTAGGCTGTGTGGCATATCAGCAGTTTTCTGACATTGAAACTCAAGTCCAAAGTCCATTTATTTATCTGTAAGACTACTGCTGTGAGACTGCTGTACAGCTGCCTTAAAGAACTTTACAAGACTGTTATACAAAGTAGAAGACCCATTTCAGTTTTAGAACTGATTGTTCTATAATGTTTTTAGGTCATTGAATTCCAAATAACCCAATGTCTCGGTTTAGGTTATGTAATGTAAAAGATACCAAAACCAGGGCAGCCCTGCCTCCGCTACCATCACTTCGGTCTCATGATGATTCAGTGACAAAAGGTAAACTGACATGCAGAAACTATTTATTGTCGCCACAATTATTTCACTGGATATTTACTCACACCTGCTCAGCAACTGCATGAGACAAGTTCAGCCAGTGACAGTTCGGATATGACTCAAACTCTCTGCTTAAAAAAGTCACTGAGTGTTACTAGTGTTTATTTAGTTTAATGAGAACTACCACACCCCCTCATCTGTAATGAGATAAGCTGGTTTCAGTGTGAGCTTCTGGCCATGTTAGCTCATAAATGTCATTGCAAAATATTCCTTGACTTAAAATTTTCGAAAAAGGGGTAAAACACTTTTAATGTACAGTCATATACAAAAGTTTGGGCACCCCTGGGCAAATGACCTGTTTTATTGAAAATAAGTTAACACATGTTCTACATGTTTCAATGAACAATTACTGCTTATTTGTTGAATTCAACACATTGGGAAAAAAAGAAAACATAAAATGTGGGCTGCGTAAAATTTTTCTATTTTACATTTTATGTTAGATTTTTTTCAAACTCAGAAATACATAGAAATTCCGCCAGAATATTAGCAGAAAACCGGTTATATATTATTGGGATATTAGGATATATCCTATACTATTAGGACATATCATCATCATTTCAAAATATATGTACAAATATGGGTAACACTTTCTTTTACAGTCCCCTAAGTTCTAGGTATTAACCAGGTAAGTGTGGGGTACAAACTCCAAAGTATTAGGTAATTATTTTAGATGGTAAGTAGCAGAATAGTCTAAATTAATTATACTGAAATGTCTCACAGGTTCTAGGTATTACGCAGCTAAGGCTAAGGTATAAATTCCAAAATACTGGGTAATTATTTTAAGTAATAAGATGGTAAGTACCAGGATAGTCTAAAAGAATTACTATGGAATGTGTCACAGGTTCTAGGTATTACCCAGGTAAGCGTGAGGTAGAAACTCCAAAGTACTAGGCAATTATTTTAGGTAATAAGATGGTAAGTACCAGGATAGTCTAAATAAATTATTATGAAATTATGTGAAAAGAACTAAACAGCAAGGTGTAGGAATTAAGACATTCTTGTACAATATTGTACACTGTAATGTACAGGAATTATTGTGTCAAAATACAGAGTTGTCAAAAGGTTTTAATAAACAGGTATTACTATTGTGACAAATCCTGCTTTCTCTTACAGTCTGTTTACAGTTGCATAACAAGTGGCAATTTTTCTGAACTTTGTGGTAAGAACCCAGTAAACTATAGAAAGAGTCCCTGCCTTCTTTTACAGTTCAGATTCAGTTTAGTATCTAGGTAATTGATACATACTATTTAAGACTCTACAGATTCGAGTGAGCTGAGCTCTGACTTACATTCTGTTTATTCTTTTGAAGTTCCAGGTAAATACATTATAACACACAGATACATTCCCTCTAATATTGACAATCTAGTACCCATGTGTCAAACACAAGGCCCACAGGCCTGATCTAGAACCTGTGAGACGTTTCATAGTAATTAATTTAGACTATTCTGGTACTTAATATTTTCTCACCTTAAATAATTACCTAGTTCTTTGGAGTTTGTACCTCACACTTACCTGGGTAATACCTAGAACCTGTGAGACATTTCAGTATAATTAATTTAGACTATCCTGCTACTTACCATCTTGTTACCTAAAATAATTACCAAGTACTTACCTGGTTAATACCTAGAACTTAGGGAACTGTAAAAGAAAGTGTTACCCATATATGTTGTGCGCACATATGTAGGTTTCACTATTGGACACATCTGCATAATATATTGGGTCGTACACATATGTTTGATATGTTGTTGAATGCATCCCATTACAGTTGTAATTGTTTCTATGTTTACTGTTTGCTTTTAAATATTAAATCATGTAAATGTGTCAGGAAACAAAACGTTCATTTCGTGTTTAAATTATTTTATTGCATAGCTTACATGTGTATGTTTTAGCTCATATCTCCATTTTTGTCATTTTTGTCACATAATTTGAAAGTGCATGTGTTGCTTTACATTGTGTATAAATTTTGGGAAGAATAGACCAAAAGAAATGGCCCAAAATGACTTGGAAAAAAGTCTGGTTGACTTACATTAAGGTAAAGTCCTCTCCTGTAAAAGTAAAGTCTTTTTCCTGTAAATTTACAATTTTGAAGATACAAGTTTTTCTTCCAACAACAGCGATATGTGTTACACATATATTTTTTATGTTGATTTATGGCTGAAATATATGTCAAATATTTGAAATAGCCTATTTTAAATAAGTTGGTAATTATGTCACATTTAGGTCCGTAATGTGACAAGTTGAATATCGGGAAAATCCATATATGCTAATGTCTGTCATATTTTTCAAATACATATACTGCAAAATATCAGATTTTTGTATAGAAAATGCCATATTTAAGTTTGTTCCCTGTACAAAATGCCCTGTTATTTTCACTTTGAAAATCAACATCATTTCACTGGGCGTGTTCAAACTTTTACATACAACTGTACCTAGTTGAAACTGGGAGGACCCCACTCACCTCGTTCACCCCAGTCATATTGCAAGAAAAAGAATGACAGTAAACAAGCACTCATTGCACCCTTAAAATGATATGGAATAAATTTTACTTGGCAAAAATAAATATTAAAAATGCAGAAAAGGAAACTTTAAATCCAAAATTATATATATTTTTAATTATATGTGTTTTCTGTTTTTTGTTTTTTGTTTCCCTGACATGGAAAAACTGAAATGAAGAGTAGCCTCATAGTACTAAACTTACTAGGGCCCCCCTGATGATTCAGGGGTCCTCAGGGACTGCTCATTCTGCTTACAGCAAGGAACGGCCCTGACTGTCACACCAAAAATGTGTTCATCAGAAATTACTCAGCCAAAATCACTGAACAGAGGGCAGACAGCTGTGAAGGAATACAGTGGATAGATTGCAGCAAACATGAGCATATCAAAGTTACTGATAAACTAGTGCAAACAATGGTGAATAATTAACCAGTTGTGGTTGGTGTCAGATTACTGAGAGTGCCCTTAGCTTCCAGCTCAACTCTACAGAAAGTGAAAATGGCTCAGCCGCTCTAGAGCTAGCAGTTTGTGTATCTGTTCATTAAGGCATTCTCAGGTCTCCCTTGTAGTACAATTCACTCATTCTCAACAGCCCTGCCCTTTTTTTTCCCTCACTCCGCCCTCTCTACTCTCCCGCTCTCTCTCTCTCTTAAGGCTCTGGCAGTCCTGGCTCAACTTGTTTGTCTGAACCTGAACAAGGCTGTGCTCTCGCTCTCTCACTCTCTCTCTCTCACCCTCTCTCTCCCTGCAGGAAGGGGAGGGCTCTGTCTGCTTTCAATCAATAACTCCTGGAATTCCGAAATACAAGTACGTCCTGTCTCCGACTGCCCCGCTTCACCGACTACAAGCTTCCAGGCTTTTGGCTTCCCCCGCTTTTCACAGACAGGTGTTTGGACCCCTCGTGCTTGTGTGTGCCTGCCTAAGGTAACCATGGCTGAGCCCATGTCTCCGGATTACTTCAGCTGCCACCTGTGCGCCAACCTCCTGAGGGACCCTGTGGCCATCCCCTGTGGCCACAGCTTCTGCATGGACTGCATCAGCGGCTACTGGAACGAGGCAGACTACACAGGCATCTATATCTGCCCGCAGTGCAGGATCACCTTCACGCAGAGGCCCGTCCTGCGTCCAAACGCCACCCTGACCAAAGTGGCCGAGAAGATCAAGAAGACGGGCCTGAACCTCAACCTGTCTCCTGCGCCCCCCACCAACGGAAGCTTTGCCGGCCCCTCTGATGTCCCGTGCGACTTCTGCACGGGCAAGAAGCTCAAAGCCGTCAAGTCATGCCTCAACTGCCTGGCCTCATACTGCGAGAAGCACCTGAAGCCCCATTATGAGTCAGCCACCTTCAAGAGGCACAAGCTGGTGGACGAGCTGGGCAACCTGGACAGGAAGATCTGCCCGCAGCACCAAAAGAGTCTGGAGCTCTTCTGCCGCACTGACCAGATGTGCATCTGTGCCATCTGCACCGTCAGCGAGCACAAGGGACATGATATAGTGTCTGCCGAAGCTGAGAGGAGCGAGAAACAGGTGAGTTCTTTGGAGTAGACCTCTGTGATTCGGGCACAAAACTGATACCAAGAAGTGCAGGAGTGGTTTATTTACAGTAGCAACCACTGAGGTGTGACTACAGGCTTTATCCCTTAAACTGCAGGCTTATTATTCAGTCATTCAACTTAAGACTTATTATTTGGTGACTATATGTATTACACTGTAATTACTTCATTGTAATACTGATATGTAAGCTATGTAGCAGGAAAAGCATTGTACTGTTTCAGTGTTGGGACAATGCTGGGTGTCTATTAAGATCTGTTCAAGTATAGCAGTAGACAGGCTTATCTCAAATTTTGGCTTATCTCACGTTTTGTCTTTGACGAAACCTTCCAGTGACTTTTCAGTCAAACCGGTTCTGCGGTATGCTAGTCGAGTACATTTGTGAGAAAAAAATGATCAAAATGTAGCAAGCAGGGCGTAGGAAATGATGAAACCAGATGTACTGAAAAGAGACAGAAGTACTGGGACAAAAGTCACTGAGACTCACCACCAAATAAAGCTATCACACCCTGGCGGACAGCTCAAAACCACACAGGGAGTGTCCCTATATTAGCCAGTGACTGAAATCGTGTTTTGAGTGGGCTTCACTCTGGATATGTTTTGTGTGTTGTTTTTTTCTCCAAGAAGAATAGTTCTTATGTTGTTGGAAATGAGAGGGATGGGATAAGAAAAGGATGGTCAGGGAGAGGTATAGGGAGAGGCAGATCCCACAGATAAAGGAATGTGTGCTTGAGGAGATCAGGCGGGAGCTTACACACCCCCCCCCATCCCCCCACGCTATCAGAGAGAGAGAGATTTTTTTGTACTTTGACCTCCTGCTAAACTGCTAAAGCCATCACCCACCTCAGCAGACACGTACCACTGGGAGACATGACCACCTCGTCCAGAATTTCCTTGGGAATTTCTCTTCTAAAAGCTCCGCTCTATATGGTGGGATAGAGGTTTGTGATAAGTGGGAACTGTGGGAGAGATTAAAAAACTATAAATAGACCTTCACATGTTTCTAGTTTCTACGTTAAAAAGTACAGAACAAGGGATACCTGGCTTTGTTAAGAGAAGAGCAGGAAACGGTCAATATGTTTTCATTTCCGGCCTTTGAAAATGTACTAATAACCTCCATTATTTCATTATCAAAGCCTGGCAGGACTGTATTGTTAAACCCTGGAGGAACTGTAATGCTTAGTATGATCCTGTGCCAGAGCAGGGACCAGCAGGTACTCACTGCAAATGGTTTGTTTATTTTGCTGGAACCAGAGGGACCAGATTTAAGACCCCCTGTTTTTCATCTCTTTCTCTGTGTGTCTCCCTCACACACACACTCACATCACACACTCCCTTTATTCACCCCCTTCCCAGATTCTCCACATTCCTTTAAGCTTATCTTGAAGAATGGTTCGGTGGGCTTTCGCTGAAACGTTGCCCTAAAGGCCCCTCTTCATTCTCCAAGGGGCCAGGGCATGTGCACCTTGAAATGCCTCTCCACAAGGCAGGCCTGGCCAGTTTCGCATTCCTGGCGTGGTTGGCATTCCCGCACTCCCTTTTCTTCCCTCTGCCTTCATAGATAAAGGCGCCCATATTAAGCAGGTTCTCCAAATAATAGTAAAGCGCAATTGCTCCAAGTTTGAATGCTTCCATTTCACCAAATATATACTGTATACAAATAATCAACAGGGCCACAAACAGTGATCAAAGAGTTTTTTCTTTGTGTTTTCTTCTGACAGAAACTTCTCGGAGTGTCCCAAGCGGAGATCAAACAGAAATGCCAGCAGAGGACCAAAGAACTGGAGGAACTGAAGACGGCTGTGGACTCACTGAAAGTAGGCCACAATGTCAATGCATCATTCCAGAACTGCCCCCCATTGCTCATATCAAAAGCGAAGTAACATATCAGATATCAGACCAGGCAAAAAAACAAAACAAAACAAAAAAAAAAGCCCAAGGCCATAGCTTTATACTGGCAAGAATGACTGTGAACTGGGGGTGAACTCTTATCTCTTTAGTAACTCTGTAACTGCCTCGGGCAAGAGAAAACAAATAAACCTTGAGGCTTGGTCATAATTGTCCTTTTGTTTGATAAAATAGAAACCAGTTGTTGACACATTGTGCCTGAAACTCCTGGTCTGGGCACAATGTTGAAGGTCAGGTAAAGATATGCAAGATATGGCAGCTTAAAACAAAAGACGCCACATCAAGACTGACATTGGGTCAATGCTATTAGCCCATTTTTCCTAAAATGTTTCGTTAATGTGCCACAGAGCTCGGCTCAGAGGGCCATGGCGGAGAGCAAGAAGATGTTTGACGAGATGATCACCTCCATCGAGAGGATGAGGTCGGAGGTCACCAAGCTGATCAACATCAATGAGAAGGCAGCATTCAGTCAGGCTGAGGGGCTGATGGAACGACTGGAGCAGGAGATCGATGAGCTCAAGAAGAAGGAGACAGGCCTGAAGCAGCTCTACAGCACCGAGGACCACATCCACTTCTTACAGGTACAGAAAGAAAACAGCGATTCCACCACTGATTCCACTGTTGCAGTGGTTCCCAACCTATTAGAGTTACCAAATTAGGCTACTAGCACATAATCTGTTTTCAAGGTTATCAGCAAGAAAAGATATTATAAGACAGTTTAAGACATTTAAGACATTTAACTGTCATTTAAGACAGTTAAACAACCAATGTGGTTTTAGACCGACAGATTTTACATTCTTCTGACCAATACCACTTGTTTTCCTCCGTTCACTACAGAATTTCAACTATCTCTGCACCCCAACTGATGATGGCTTCATTCCCAAAGTGTCTCTGAACCCAGACTTCTCATTCAGTGCCGCCAGGAAAGCTGTAGCTGAGATCAAAGAGAGGCTTGAGGAGCTGGGTAGAGAAGAACTGCTGAGGATTTCAAAGTCAGGTCAGAACACACCTCTAACAACAACTCTCGCTGAAATAAACAAAATGGAACATGCTGAGCAGTGCGGCATGAACTTAGAATAAAGTGTGTTACTACATGGGGACACTGAGAAGGCAATATGATCATTTACATCTACATTTATGCATTTGGCAGACGCTTTTATCCAGAGCGACTTACAGTTTTATCACATTACAGCGGTAGGCAAATACAGCATTATGAGCCTTGCCCAGGGAACTGGTATTAATCACTATGCTACACCAACTGCAGTTACCAACCAACACTATATTTATCATTATTGTGATTAATTATATTAAATTATGTCAGAATATCAGAAGTTCAGCAGCCCATAACCAACATTTTTCTCTATTTCATTCTTTTCCTTGAGGTCACTTTTACAATTTTTGTGCTTATATGTACCAAAAATGGTCATTATTCCTTTATATGTGACCGTTTTCCAACCTCTTTTTATCCCTTAGAATTAAACAGGCTGTTTTTGTTTCTGTGCCTTTAAGTCCATGTAAATGACTTCTGTTGCGATGGGATGTCCTGTATTGTGCCTTGTTCAAAAATCAGTCCAGGCTGAAACACTCTTTATAGCTTCTTTGGGAATGGGTGGGGCTAAACTGCTAAAAGGCTGAATAGGTTAAGTGACCCTTATTAGTCCCACAACGGTGAAATTTCACCTCCGCATTTTGACCCATCTGTGCAGTGAAACACTACATACATACTAGTGAACACACACACTAGGAGGCAGTGAGCACACTTGCCCAGAGTGGTGGGCAGCCCTATCCACAGCGCCCGGGGAGCAGTTGGGGGTTAGGTGCCTTGCTCAAGGGTACTTCAGTCACGTACTGTCGGCTCAGGAGATCGAACTGGCAACCTTCCGGTCACAAGGCTGGTTCCCTAACCTCCAGCCCACAGTTGCCTCATTTTGTTGATATCAAAGAAACAATGGCTGTTTTTGCAGTATAGTTTCCATATATGGACTGAAGGGTACATTTTGAAACTTTAACAGTATTTAGACTGTAATCTAAACCCCTTTATTTTAAAATAAAGAAAATAAAAGAAATAAAGAGAATAGAGAACAACTGCACATTTCATTACAAAGAGAGCATAATTAGGCCCGTCTAATTGAATTTGATGTAGTGCAGTATGTGAAATGTTGAATCAATTCATTTCATGCTTATAGTATTATACTGTAGTTCTATACTGTATTGTATACACTATACTACATTATAGAATAGTGTAATACATAGCATTATATATGGTGTTCATAGTTTTCAACAGTATTTTTGAATGTGGCACTACTGTCTTTTTTATCTGTTCCAACTTAACAAACCTCTAGAAACAAAACATTGTGATGTATATCATCTGTCTTGATTTTTGCCATGTTGCCCACCCCCATAGGGACTTACTATGATAATAGGAAGCCTAATCCTACTATTTCCTATGTAGGTAATAAAGAAGAGACAGGCAGTAAAATATTTTGAGTAGCCATTTCTGCTGAGGTGAGCTGGATGTTCTTCAAACAGAATTGTTTGTTCCTTAACTTTTACAAGCATCTGGTATGAGAAGGACATTTCATCCAACCGCACAGCGCACATGATCGCATGAGTACAAACTGCAGCCAACGCAGAACTATCATGTGATCGAGTTGAAAAAGTAAATAGTACTTGGAAGTTTGACTAGTGTGTGGTACACAGTGGGAACCTCTCCGATTGGGTGAAGCAAGCAGCATGCAAACATTCTTAGTCCCAAAAAAGGTGTTATGTAATGAGATTTGAACTACTGCTTAGGCAGCTTTGCAGACATAACTTCTTATTGCATCCACTAAGCAAATCAATTGTGATTCAGAAGTTCCTGACGTGCTTTTTTCATGTGTAACAGTGAACGAAGTGCCCGTGTACACGCTGGAGAACCGAACAGTTAGAGAGAAAAGCACCCGAGGTGAGGCATCAGCACAAATAAATTCTGAATAATGTTTAATTATTCAAAGACATGGTAATGTGAAACCCAACTCACATCACACTCATATGAAAGTAAAGACACTTTGTTTTTTCTTTCTATCTTTAGTTAAAGAGGTCCATACAGTGGACAGTGCCCCTCCTTCACAACCCAGGAGCCGGTCTGAGTTTCTGAAATGTAAGTAGGATTTCTTATTATATCATTGAATGCTTTCTTTATGCTGAATGAGTCTATTCCTTCTTGGATGACTGGCTCACAATGCTTCTAGGCGTCTTGGTTGACTGATAGGTATACAACAGGCCTGTGTGGTCTACACATTTCCATTCTACACTCTTACAAATGAAGGTGCCTAAAAGGATTCTTTGAAGTGGTACCTTTGAAGAATCCCTCTTGGTTCCATGAAGAACCTTTCCATAAATGGTTCTTGAAATCTGCAAATGTGAATGGTGTTTTTTTTATATTTAACTAACTACTACATTAAGGTCTGACCTATATATCGTTAAGTGACACCAAGGTAACACCTTGTGGTTTCTTCCCTTTCAGTAAAAGGATTGTCAATAACTAGCAACTTTGCTGATGACCAGGATATAACCTCAAAATGCGATAAGGCAAAGCCTTAAATGTTTAGGGAGCCCAGTTTGAGTTACTTCCTGTTTAAATATTTGATGACAATACAGGCTAAACTGGTAAAACTGAACACAAAACACTGTCACTGTCAGTACAACAAAAACATAAAATGCATAACCTAAATTTTACAGTTACAACATAAACTACACTTTTTTATGAAGAGAATTCATGAAAAATAAGTGGCAATTAACAGAAACCAAAACTGCACATTTTGAGTGCTTCAATATTTATTTTATGCAAGACTGTGAGTTTCTGTTGTTTATTGGAGTTTACTAAGTGAATTGACAATCATATCTGTCAGTAAAGTACTGTTGAAAGCAATACTATGTAATGTTTTTATTACAATAAAAAGAAGTAGTATTATTCAGTCAGAAAAAAAAAAACAAAACATGCTAAAATATGGTATCTGTGCGCTGCTACGAGTCGCCCTGCAAAGCCTGAAATAATCATTTAAAAACCAGAGGTGTCGGGTCAGTCTTCACAGGAGTTTTTCAGACCATATCATACATCTTTATGCATTAACGTCACATGCACAGGCTCCAAAAGAAGGTCCGGCTTGAAGTTTTGACTGAGTTATCTTTGAATACTCTGTTAACACACTCACAATCATCAGACTCATCCGCTCTGAGAAGGGGTCCGAAGCACAACCAGTGTTACAAAATATTCTTCTCCACATTGCATGCAGTTACACATTTTCACCACAGAGGTCTATAAATGACCAGAACTTACACAGTGCAGCTCTGCCTAATACAGCTGAAGTATAAAATTGAAAAATAAAACATATGTTTACATTTAGCCTCTGTCTCTATTGGCCACACCTTGTTCATATCAGTTGGGCCCTGTTCTTTGCAATGTTTAGGTTTTTCCTAAAACCGTTAGAGCTTATGAGCAACTGAAAGTGACTAAATTCCCTTGTCTTTGCAGACTTCTGTCAGCTCCGACTGGATCCCAGCACAGCCTATAAAGAGCTGTACCTGTCTGAGAGCAACAGGAAAGTGACGCGAACCCGCAACCTTCAGCCCTACTCGGACAATGCAGAGCGCTTCGACAGCTTCGCCCAGGTGCTGTGTCGCGAAGCCCTGTCCGGCGGTCGCTTCTACTGGGAGATTGAGTGGAGCGGAGAGTTCTCTGTGGGCGTGGCCTATCGGGGCATCAGCCGCAAGGGCAAAGGTTCCCTGTGCTTGCTGGGGTACAACGATAAATCCTGGAGCCTCCTCTGCTCCGACACAGGCTACTCGGCCTGGCATAACAGGGTGGACAAAGCCATCAGCGCCCCCCACTCTCCTAGAATAGGGGTCTATCTGGACCACAAAGCAGGTTTGCTGGCCTTCTACAGCATTGGTGAGACCATGACCTGTCTGCATCGCTTCGAGACCACTTTCACCGAGCCTCTCTATCCCGGGTTTGGAGTCGGAACCTCAGTCAAAATCTGCCAGCTGAAATGAACATGAATTCGCATTTCTGGAAAGAGTCCCAAATGAAGGACAGTATTTTTTCTGGATTGTTTGTGTTTTCCATTTGCTATTTTTCTACGCCGTATCTTATATTTTATGTCATTTTTTTCAGCCATCATGGAAGCCATTTCTTTTTACTTTTTTTTTAAAGCAGTCTTTTTAAAGAACATAATCTGATTCGCAAATCGCAGCAGTTCATTTAGGCCTAGCCTGAAAATCATGAAAAAAGTTACTCAAACCTGCCATGTTATACTGTTTTTATGTGTCTAATAATGTTGTTTTGAAATACTAAACCCTGTATTTATCCAAACATCAAGTGCCACAGCCGTATTTGAAATGAAATGCGACATTATTCAATGTTGATATCTTGTTGATATTCCAATTAAAGTTTTTTTTTAAATGTAAAAGGTGTGTTTGTATTTTGTAAATGCTAAATAGAGCCTACAAGTCTATTAAGATCTAATGAAATTCCATTTAAAAAGATTAGTGGTGAAAATACCGCATTTACGTAATATTTATTAAGCAGACACTTTTTGTACACAGCTTAAATCGGTCAGATTTATGCTGTGTTGCCACAAATTCTTTCTAAATTGTAACCATTTGTGAATGAACGCTGCAGAACTGTTCTATCTAGGCAAATCTAGAAACACCATTTCACATCTGGCTCTTTGCCACTGACTTCTTCCAGTCTGCACTGTGTCTATGAATTTTAGGAAGGAAACATGCTCCCAAACCCTTCCTTTACTGTTGCAGACACGTCAGCGTTGGGGTGGACAAGCCTCTCAAGTAAAAGCATTTTTTGAATCCCCTTTTTGCCGAACAACCACTGCAGCATTTGTGCTTACAGACAGGACAGTGGTTCTCAATCCCAGATTCCATGCAGTCCAGGCTCTCATATATCCATCTGTATGTTGAATGAGGTTTGTTTGTGAAAGGAAGTCACAAAAAGTGACAGACCCAAGGACTAGGACTGAGATTTACATGCTTCTGCAGATACACTCAGTTCTAGAGAAAGTTACAGAGTGAGAACACAGTGGTGGTGATAGGAACGAGACATCTGCAACATTTAATGGCTCTAAAAGCTATTTAATAGAAAGTTATGACACAGAATAGTTACAAATATACCACCTGAAGCCTGAGACATTGTTTTACAGTTTTGAAGGTCTATTTTTTTTTTAATCCAGAGTGATACATGCAAGACATTGTAAGGCAAAAGAGTACCTAAATAAAACGCTTTTTTCTGATTTACTACTATTTTACCATTATGGGGATTACATACAATAACTCATAAGACATGTAGGTTCACTGGTCATTTTGAACAGTAAATAAAATGGCTATATCTGCAATGTTGACGCCGGGAAAACATTGCAAATATGAAACCAAGTCAGTAAGTTTGTCTATGATCCTCACTGTCACATCAAACTACTCTAAATAACTATATATCTTAATGATTAAATATCTTAATGATTGAATGTAGTTTTGTTTTTAATTCCAGTGAAAATTCAGTAAGATTCCCCTTTAAGTAAGAGAGAAGGAGGCATGACAGCAAGAAAGCAAGCAAGAAAGAAAGAAAGAAAGAAAGAAAGAAAAAGAAAGAAAGGTATATATTATGTTACGCAGCAAAACTGAGACAGAAAGTTATGGTGGGCTCAAAAAGTATTTGGACATTCAAATGTTTTCAGTTCATAGTGTTGGAAACAAAATGTCAAACCAAGTGCCATTTTTTTAAACAGTCCATCCCAAGACAGCAAAGTATTCCTTAAAAAAGGCGGCTGGTGTGTTTCTGATCGTTATCGTTGGAGCAATTTCTTTTCAGACTTCCTCACGTTTGCACCCGACATGCCTTTGTACACCCACCAATGAGCACAAGCTCACCAATACCATTTTAAGAAGATCAGCCTCAGACAGTGATGTTTCCCCTCAGTGGAGAAGCTACCATCAGTTTGGTGTTGTGCTACAAGTGTTTGTCTCTGAAACAAATATCAACTTGTTAAATAAGGCATGAAGTACCCTAAAAAACCTCATTAGAGTTTACCAATGGTAAAGTTGTCTGGGGCCATTGTATATTTGTAACCAATCATAGACAAACAGACAGTAAGCAAGCAAGAAAGCAAGCAAGAAAGAAAAAACTGGTACATGCCATGCTTGAGAAATGTTACATCTCTTTATTACTTTTTGCTGACTGTTTGTTTCACTCTGATGAGCCCTTTATAATTAACATGATCATAATAATAGCTGCATTTAATATGAAAATTGCCTGAAAAATACCTTCACATATGACTTTGTACACAGATCTATGTAAATTATCTACACTAGTGAAATTACACCTGCAACAAAACAAAAACTTTGTAAATCTATTGCTGTTTTCAGTTTTATTTAAATCAGTTTTATTTATTGAAATGGTGTTCTTTCTTATTTTCTTTTCTTTTTTCCTGTTCCTGTTTAACTTTTATCTATCATACTGTTATTCTGTTATTGTAGAAATACATACATACATACATACATCATCTAAACCGCTTATCCTACTGGGTCGCGGTGGGGTGCTGGAGCCTATCCCAGCTGTCATTGGGCGGAGGGCAGGTTACACCCTGGACAGGTTATTGTAGAAATAGTTTTTCGCCAATAGTGATACTCAAACGGTCCTTCTTACATTTCCACAGTGCGCCCTCTGTTGTGCAGGCTTTTGTATTGCAGTAGCAGCAGCTTGGTTTTCAAAATGTGTCTGCCTGTAGAGATAAACAGTTTCAGCTGATATTCAAATCCAGAATTACGCGGTAATGTTGTGATATGATACTTATTTGGGGTATTTATTTGCCTACTCACGAAAATTTCACGAATTTACATTTATCCTCTACGCGACTGCAAGCAGGCTAGCGACTCGCCTAATGCATGTCGCGAATCTGTGGATGTGAAATTCGCGATTCGTTTGCACTGCAGCGCCTTGACAACGAGATGTGTATGTTAGGGTGTCTTGTGGCTAATGCTAATGGGTCGGTTTGCATATAATAACACGACAGTGTATTTCGAGTATATTCTGTTTTACAATATAGTAGTATGCATTTCATTCAGCATGTACTCCTCTGTTAGATAAACCCAACAGCAGACTTCATCTAATAAATACATAATTTAGTTAAGTTACCTTGATGGTTAGTCCACTGAACTACAGCCTGGTCGTTATTCGTCTCTCTGATACTCTTCATAACTTCTCAAAATGCTAAAAGTAAAAATACTTTTAATTGGACCGAGCGAGGTAAGAATGTTTTCAGTTTAAACTTGTGCTTAGCATGCTGTTCCTACTTCAATAGGCTGTAAAATTATTCTGTAATGTTGTTGACAGTGTGGAAAGACAGTACTGGCAAATTTCCTCTCGGATACAGTGGAGACAGTTGGGGCAGATTACAGCCCGACACAAGGAGTGAGGTAATGTTATAATGTGAAAACCGACCGTCTAAGGTAACTGAAATCCAATGTAAGGAGACCGGCTAATTCATTAACTACATCTACCTTGTCCTGTGCATTATATCAGCTCCACTTACCATATAGGAGCACTTTGTAATTCTACAATTACAGACTGGAGTCCATCTGTTTCACTGCATACTTTGTTAGCCTCCTTTCACCCTTTTCTTCAATGGTCAGGACGCCCACAGGACCACCACAGGGCAGGTATTTGGGTGGTGGATCATTCCCAGCACTGCAGTGACACTGATGTGGTGGTGTGTTGTGTTCACTGTCCACTCTATTACACACACCTACGTTGCTGGTTCACCTTGTAGATGTAAAGTCAGAGACAGTGGCTCATTTGTTGCTGCACAGTTTGTATTGATCATCCTCTAGTCCTTCATCAGTGGTCACAGGATGATGCCCACAGTACTCTGTTGGCTGGATATTTTTGGTTGGTGGACTGTTCTCAGTCCAGCAGTGACACTGAGATGTTCAAAAACTCCAGCAGCACTGCTGTGTCTGATCCACTCTTACCAGCGCAACACACACTAACACACCACCACCACATCAGTGTCACTGCAGTGCTGAGAATGATCCACCACCCAAATAATACCTGCCCTGTGGTGGTCCTGTGGAGGTTCTGACCATTGAAGAACAGGGTAAAAGGGGGACTAACAAAGTATGCAGAGAAACAGATGAACTGCAGTCTGTAATTGTAAAACTACAAAGTGCACTTATTTGGCAAGTGGAGCTGATAAAATGACAATGAGCATAGAAACAAGGAGGCATAGTTAATGAAGCGGCCGATCAGTGTATCATCGCTTTCTCCATTGACAAATATGCTGCTGTCTTTCTAAGGATACTGGAATTTGAGTCACAAAACCTGGGAAGTGGGACCAAAGACTCTGCCTGTGAGGTGGAACTGTGGGACTGTGCTGGAGATTTCAAGTGAGTGTTCCTTCCATCCTCCTTTGATTCAGTTTCTCCATTGGTTTCTTCTTAAGAAGTATGTGTCTAAAAGTATCCAGATACGGCTTTTCTATTATTGAATTCGGCTACTTTAAGCCCATTGTTAACATTGGTTCTTATAGCTTGTAAAATCTCCACAGAAAAGCACTGCAATTAGATTGAGATTCTCTGAAAAAGCTCCACATGAACCTAAGGTCATTGTCCAATGCCAAGTGTCATCTAGAGGGGAATAAAGCTCCCCAGCAGTGAGCTGTGGAGTAGTGGAGCTTTCTTTGGAGTGATGGAGTACCACCCAGAATGAGTTGGACTGATGTTTGTGATCCAGAACAAATCATCCAACATCAGTATCTGACCTCACCAATGCTCTTGAGACTGAATGCAGCCAAATCCTCACAGCAATGTCTAGTGTAAAACCTTTCCAGAAGCATAGAGGCTGTAAATGCAGTAAGTGGACAGACTCTACATCTGCACAGGATCTGTATGTTCTGTTTCATGACAGCGCTGGTCAGTGTATTGGGGTGATTGTGTTTTTGGACAGTGTTTATACAAAACACTAAAATGTCAAGAGAACACTGAAAAATTATACTCCAATTTGAGTATTATTACCTCAGAGAGACTCTTAATGATCAAGTAAATATGTCTTTGTATATATTCTTTATTTTTGCTATAGTCATGCAATCAAGGCTCTACTGAGAAGAATTCTATATAGTCCAGCGCCCCCCAGTGTAACATAATTAGGGATAATTCAAATTCTCAGCTTCCTTTGTCTCCAGTCTGAACATTTTCAAGGAGTTGAATGAGAACATATGAGCCATTTAACCTTCAAACGCAGGCCTTCTGTTTCTCAGTAGTCTTTGATGTGGGTGATTGTAGGAGAGAACATTTTGGCAAGAACCCCAATTTGTTTTTTTTAGAAATATAAACGTTCTCTCATTTAATAAATTCATTATCAGGCATGGATGATTTAGCATGACCTTTATCACTGATACAGGTTTGAGGCATGCTGGCCAGCTTTGATGAAAGACTCCAATGGTGTAGCCATCGTATTTAACCCAGACATTCCAAGTCATCTTAAGGAAGCAGAAACCTGGTACTCTACATTCATCACTTCACAAGGCCTACTACCAGGCCAGTGCCTGCTTATAGCACATCACAAGCCTGGTAGTGGTGCAGATACATCACGCCCTCAGTTAGGTAAGACTGAAAGTAAAGAGTTTGCTAACCTGTCGACTCAATTTCTTATTTTGGAAACACATTACAATTTAATTTGGTTTACTACATAACAGAACACTGAGTATTATCACAATGAGCTTGACAAATCTGAGTTGTCTGTTTTTGCTCTATGCAGCTTCTCAGTTGAACAAGCTGCCCCTCATTCACTCTAACCTGGAGGAAGATGCTGAAGAGGTGCGTCAAGAATTCCGCAGATATCTGGGAAACGTTGTGAAAACATTGTCGGAAAGTCGAGAACGTGAAGAAATGTCAATTATAGCATAAACTCTTAAGACTATTCTAGTGGTAACCAACCTGCATCTAACATGCTCTCTTAACACTGATGCATCTGATCCAGCCAATCAAGGACCTCTGCAGGAATACTGATCTAAAGGACCAGGGTTGGAGACCACTGGACTAATTAACGCTTCCACTGTTATTCTATGAAACTGGGTTTTACATTTGAGGTAGCCTTGGGTTTATCCATGTCACTTAAGCTAAGCACTGTCTTCAAAGTAAGCCAAAGTTAGTTAGCATGATGACTCAAAAATTTCAAAATTGTCAATCAAGTCAGACCAATAAACATACATGCCCACATAAAATTAAAAAAAAAATTGCACCTTAATCAAAACTTGACATGCCAGGAGCAAATAAGCTGTTATCATTTCAAAGACAATAAAATAAGGTAAATAAAAGCCTTAGCCTCCATCTACTCATTTCAGATTCCAAACAACCAAGTGTGCATGATGGGCCTTAGTGTATGTGAGAATTTCTGAAAGTTAATCATGATCTTAAGACACTGCCTATCTCTGTACTATAAGTAAAAGCAAACAGACTAATTTTGTTTAATAAACATTTATTTAGTTCCTGGATTCCAAGAAGCTCGAACGTAAGACAAAAGAGGGAACAAGCAACAAAGACAGTCCACATTTACACATCATATCCCACGATGCCTCTCTTTCCAATGATCTCGCCTATGTAGAACCACATCAGAACTTCTGTGGCAACAAGACCATTCCTCAAAGCATCCTGTGAAAACAGAATTATGCAATGGTTCATTGTAAAGAACATTAGCCCTATGAACTAAGTAAGAATAGTTCTCCAACCTTCTGCTTAGCATCAAATTAAATGAATGCAGCTGATGTCAGACCACTATAAAGGGGTGTGTGTGTGTATATATATATATATATATATATATATATATATATATATATATATATATATATATAAAAAAACACAAAAATTCACTCATTTAATTCACTCATTTCCATCTTCCTAGTACGAGTTATGAGACAAATGAGTGATGGGAAAGGAGATGGGGTTAAATCCATTTCCTTCAGTTAGTGTAATTTCTGTCTTTGTTCATGACTCTAAGGTAGCAAAATAAATCTATAGTTGGTCACTGGATTGATTTAAATATAAGGCATGATTTATCTGACCAGAAATGTTTGTAGTCATGCAGCACCAATAACACAGCATTCTGTTACCTGACACACAATATTACATTGCTATAGACTTTTTGATCAAGAGCACTCACCCTGACAGTGGTCTGACCGAGGCGTCCAGACTGGAAACCTTTCAGCAGGTCTGAAAAACCAGCCACTGCTTTGGGGATCTCAGCTGGGGAAGGTGGTACCAGCTCAACACGGGCGTAATACCAGAATGTTGCTAACCGGGGCTTTGAGTAGGTCACGGCAGCTGCAAGACAAACAAAAGGGTCAGTTTTAAAGAGAAGTTATGAACAAAGAAATGTTTGGTATCCTGCTTCTCAGCGGAGACCAACATCCATCACAAACACTGAGGTACATCTATTGAACATCTGAGAGGTTTGTAACTGTATCGACAATTCAGGTTGCTGCAAAAATCATTTAAGGTGTTTTCATGCTTCAGCATAGAGCTGGGCAATATCACAATATTTTTCATTATCATAATATCACAATTCCACAATATGCTTTTCTGAGCATATCATGGATATTGTCAATATTTAAAAACAACTTACCAACTGCATGTTTGATTACAAAGAGCAAAACAGTCCTGTTTAATTGGAATTAGTGCAGCACAGTTTGTGAAATGCGGAATACAAATACATATATATTTTTTAATTGTGGGCTTTAACTCATCAGAGGTCAGAAAATATAAATATTATGACATTTCCTGTATCATAAAAGTACAGGTTAAGTACTGTGATGTGACATTTTGCCATATTGCCAACCTCTACTACAGCAACACTAAAACGTTTCTGCTGCACTCTGCTATTAGAAGCATGGTCACTCAGGAGCAGGGGTCAGAAGCGCAGAGGAGAAACCTTATTTTCATTATTATTTCTGTGATATTTTGTGTGAGAAATGAAGTGATCTATCGATACAAATGTACATGTGTAGAACTGCTGTTTCCTACATTTCTCAAATTTTTCAAAACTAAACCCGTGTCCTCCAGTAAAAGGAGCTCAAGCAGCTCTCGCTGGGCCCGTGGCTAAAGGAACCGAGGATCCATTAGTGAAGTGTCAGACAGCTAAAAAACGCATTTAGCTAACAAATACCGAACATTTCAGAAAAGTGCGTTAGTAGTATTATCAAAACATGACGTAGTGCACATTTAAGATTACTAACGTGGCTAGATAACGTAAATCTAACTGCAAACCTCAAACTGACGTTTTTTTTTTTAGAAAAAAAAGCTAATTAAAAGACGCGACGTCGTTAGCTAGCTATGGCAAATTAAACAGGTCTGGACAATAAAATGGTCACAGCCTGCTCTGCGTTATATATTTATATTTTTATTAAATATTAGTTAGTAACTCTGTGTCTTCTGCTGGGCTGCAGCTTGCTCGGACATTCTCATGGGCGATGCGGCCATTTCTGAGCGCAACCAGAAGCTAGGTTAGCTAGCCGGTAAACAGCCGCCGCTACGTTTAATATACATACTTTAGCTTATATAAAACACAAAGAGTCTTACCCCCAACCAAAGTTGGTACTTTAGCAACCAGCTTCTGTACCGCCTGTGCCATGGCTGCTCGCTAGACAGATCTTTTTCGCCTCGTCTCCACAGTCGCTGCCCCTTCAAATGAATGTCACCTACAGCGAAGGACCTCTACAGACAGACAGCGAGCTACAGAAGTGCCTGACGCAAATTGCAAACACGTCTAGGAAAAAAAGAACACAGCAGGTAAACAGTCTTTATTTTTTAATGTCGACGTATTCAGTTCAATAAGAAATAAGTGGAGATGGCGATGCAGTCAGTGGCGTAAAATCGGCGTACATACATACGTATGTAGACCAGTGCTGATCGAGGACCCGTCAGGCGAAGTCCCAAATCGACATGTAGTGCACTATTTGAGTGAGGAAGATCATTTCATTACCTACGTAGTGCGCTGTGTAGGGAGCAGGGATGCGTTTGAGATTCAGTCCGTTTGAAAGTCACCCCCCCATAAGGCCGAAACACACACATCTGAGCACAGATCCGTTCGGAATCCTGTCTTTCCTTACAAACTGAATTTGTATAACTTCAGTTTATACCATTTTACTGTATTTGAACATGTAATCAATTTATTATCATGTGTTGCATTAATTGCAGTGTGTTAAATCAAAGAAAATATTGGTCTGTGGCTGGTTATGTAGGTTTGCAGGCTTGATACTGGCATTTTACCACTTGTAATGACATACATACATACATATATCTATGCTGTTCCTTAGCTATATGCCAAGGTCAAATACAGATAAATCATTCTCACTCAGCTTTATTCTGATTGTTTATTGGAATTCATATTATAAGCAGATACATGTTCAAGATATATATAATAGGTAGGCTGATAATTAACATTTGTAACATGTAGAATCTACAAGCTTCTGAAAAACTACAAAACTGATATTGAAGCTTAATTATAAGGTTATCACCCTCACCCTCAGATGTGAAGAAAAATAAAAAAGCAAAAATCATATTCAGTTTGTAAGAGAAGTAAAACCAGAGGCATAACCAAGGGGTGGCTGAGGTGGCCGGGGTGGCCAGTGCCAGCCTAGCAAGAAGCATGGCCACCTTTCTGGCCTTTTCAGTTATAGAAAGTGAGACAACAATCATCAGTCAGCCATCATCAATAAAGCATTAATTAAACTTCATTTTTGCTACCATTGGGGTAGTTACAAATCAGTCATGAGAGTCTGATCACACTGCGTTTAATAACTAGTGTATCTATTTTGGCTAATTTGTGGAGCAAACATTTGGAATTCCCTTTTAACAATTAGTGTATCTTGCTGTTATCAGGTGAGTGAATGTGCACTGGGTCCCTTTAGTAATGCTGCTCTGTAAGCTACATTATAAAGTAGGCTGTGCGATTGTAAGATGAGTTAACTATGAAAAAATAGTTAGCTATAATTGTTAATCATGCTAATTACTTTATTTACAGTTGAACACATTCATTGATTTCCTCATACAGTGCTGTCTGGCTAGCTTTATAATCATTAGGTTCATGTATGTATATAAGGGCAGTCTACATTCATAACTTCTATGGCCTGTCTATATGAAATGCCTTCATTAAAGTGAATATTGTGCACTGAATAAAAGTGATGGACTTAATTTACTTGCTTCAAATACATAATTTCTTTATGTATGATTAAAATACATGACATTGACACAGTTTTGTCTTTTAGTTTATTTTTGGCAAAAAATTGTATTGTATATTACTCACATGAAAATCATGGACAGGCTTAGTTATGTAGAGAGAAAAAAAAACAATGCATCACTTTTTATCTCATTTAATATACATTTTAATAAACACTTTTATTTTTTTTTTCCTAGCAGCATGCCACCCTGATAAAAAAACTCTGGGTCTCATTTGGCCACCCCATTCTAAAAGTTCTAACTACACCCTTAAGTAAAACATATCTTTATCCTTCTACGTTATTGAAATGATATACAACTGCTCATTATACATAACATTATTCACAGTAACACAACTTTTTCTTGCTTTCTTTATTACTTCTTTCTTGCATATTTATTGAATTGAATGGCGTTCTCTTTCAACTGAGATTTCCATAATGATGCATAGATAATTACAGTTTTCCACTTGCGTGTTGCCTGTGCTCTTTGCCAAGCATAGACAGAGTTCAGAGCAGCTAGAAAAGAATTCATGAGCATCCCAGACTTATTCTTTTGCAGAAAAACAGCACTGAGTTTATTGCCACAACATTGTCAAGGAGCTCATCTCAATCCCCTGTCTGGTTACACTTGGCCCCAGTGAAGTTAGACGCTTTCTCAGCACAGAGTCCAGTGCTTTTCACAGAGGCTTAGGAAGCGACTTGCATTGGTCTCAGGGATTAGAGAGTTGGCTGTGTGGGAGATGGGCTCACATCCTCCTTTACCTGCAGTGAATAAAGTTTGTTCTCATTATAGTTACACAAAGACACATATAAATAAATATATATACACATACATACAGTAAAAAAATAGCAACATTTTTAATTCTTATTTTCAAAAAAGTAGCTGCTTTCTTGAGAGCTAGTTTACAGAACAAGGTTTGCTTCCAGATTTTTTTTCTTGATTTCTCCTGGATTTGTTAAATTCCATCACCAGCACCCTTAATTTGACATTAAAGTATTGATTAGCCAAACCAGAGATCATATAAAACTGGGCTGCCACAAGGAGAGCTCTGGAAATACTTGAATGAACATCGGTCAAATGTAAGTGTTACACTGAGCAAGTAAACGCTAACTGCATAATTCAGGGGTTGGCAAGCCAAATCTAAAGAAGAGCCATTTTGTCCTTTCAATAAAAATCAAAACATTTTGAAGCCACAACATTTATGTCCATTTTACCATCTTGCCTATCAACATGTGCTGATGTCCTAGAAAAGACTAAAAATATAATGTAATGTAAAAATATAATGCTCTGCTTTAAGCTTTAGCTCAGCTATAGCCACTTTTCTCACATCTCCGGCAGGAAACTTTTCCCCAAAAGTGGAATAATTTCCTGTAAAATGTCTCTCAATGTTTGACTGTTTATGTCAAAAGGTGAAGTCAGCTTTTTTCCGTTCCATCTTAAATGGCACCTGAGATGCCAGAATGTAACTGCTGCACGATTTAAGGTGGAACGGGAAAATTAGAACGAGAAACTGACTTCAGCGTCGTGACTTTTTAGTGTTTGCCAGTTTCTAGTTTCAGATTTAACATATCAGAAAACCAGCTGGAGTGATTATAAATGCAGGTAAGTCCATTAGTCTCCAAATTATCACTGTTCATCTTAAATCTTTCTCTTTGCCTTTTCGTTAGCTACTAGCTACTGTTGTCTGCGTTGCTGTGACCAATAGTCTGTGGGCCAATTTTAAGGGTTATAAGTCGGTGAATTAGCATTTATACATTAACTCCAGCATTTAAGACATTTAATATTAAAACTGTTAGAATGCTCAGCAGAGCTGAGACGCATGTTGCTGACCTCTGGCCCAACTGAATAACATTTTAAAGGTAATTTTCTCAGGTGCCTATGACTTTTGCAATGTACTGTATTAAATTAGTTTAGAAACATAACACATGTAGATGCTTCCATATAGATGTATTCTGTGATACATTTAAACATCCTACTATGCTCTGTGGCATGTATTACAATACTGAGTAGGCTCAGCTGTTCTCAACTTTGAATGAGATGGCAAGAGGATGAAAAGATCTGAGTTTGAAAGAGAGCTTATCATTGATGCATCGATGGCGGTTCAATCACAAAGATTGCTCAACTGCCTAGTGTTTCAAAAGGAACACTGACTGAAGTGACATCTGCATTTAGATCTATGGGAGAGACATCAGTAAACAGGGTTAGAAATGCTGTCAGCATGGAGCAACTGTTTCTCAGGTGACTGAGAATGTCAATGCAGGACGTGATCAGCAAGAACAATCAGTCTACAGCTACATAGAGAGAAAGATATTATAGTAGGGATGCAGTGCATAAACCCCTCATTAGAAAGATGAACACACATTTGAGAGTTCAGTGGTGTAACAACCATGAGCACTGGTCATCCTTCACCATATTCTTCTTCATCATTGGGTGAATGCATGTGTGGCATACACCAAGAGTACAGTATAGGCCTGATTGCTTGACCCCTACAGTGATACGTGATGGCTAAAGGGGTCATTTTGCTGGCATGGTTTTGGTCTACTTTTTCCTTAGAGCGTAAGATCACAACAAATCAACACTAAGTTTTTCATGAATACTATTATTTTCTGATGAAACATTTATATCCTGATGGGAGTGGTCTCGTCCACAATGACAATGCTCCCATCCACAGGGCACCAAGGGTCACTGAACTGTTTGATGAGTATGATAATGATGTATATTATATGCTTTGGCCTTCACAGTCACATGATCTAAACCCAGTTAAATACTCTTGGAAGTTTTTCGGACTCGTGTGTGTGGGTGTGTACGTGTATGTCTGTTTCTCGTACCTCTGAGGCCTTTACTACTTTTTCAGCAGTGATGGGCTTCCCGTTCTTTTTCATCCATTCATAACCTGGTCTGTCCACCACCAGCAAGGAAAGAGAGGTTTCTCCTTTCTTCATGAGTAAAATCACATCTTCTAAACACTCATCCTCTACATTTTGCCCATTCACCTCCACTATCACATCACCTTGCAGGAGACCAGAACTCTCTGCTGAACCCCCTGTTACCTGTGCATTACAAAGACATATGAAATGCAATACAATACATTACAATACAATACTATAGGCCAGTATTCTTCATTCAGCACAATTCTTTCAATCCAGCACAATTTGATAGTTTTCCTGCTGCTTAAACATACCTACTTTAATGCTTCTGATAATTGCCAGGTTTAGTAGGTGTGTTAGAGCAGGGAAAACAGTAAACTGTGCTGTACACCACCCCACAAGGACTGAAACTCTGCAATAACAGGGCATGCAACGCCCTGAAATTAGGAAGCAATCTATATAATATGCAAACCTCAATTGCACAAAAATGAAACAGTATGTGGGATGCAAATAAAAAAAGAAATCAGTGACTTGTAAATCCACTTTGATGGTATTAAAATGAAAACACTACAAAGACACAATATTTAATGTTTTAAAACTGGGAATCCATCAATGAATATTCCAGTATAACAGTTTAAGAACAATGTTCCTCAATGAGCTATTGCAAGGATTTTAGGTATTTCACCCTTGACCCTTGATAATATTATCACAAGATTCACGGAATCCGGAAAAATCTCTGTAAAAAAAAGGGGAAAGACTGCAAACCACAAATGCCCATGACCTCTAGGTCAACTGCTGAGTGAACTTTTCAGACTTTTTACAGAAAATAATGGATGTTACATTTTCCAGACCAGAGAAGACAAGGGTCCCCAGATTGTTATCGGTGTAAAGTTCCAATGCCAGGGTCTGTCATGATATGGGGGTGTATTAGCACCCATTTGGAATGAGCATATACACAAGAGCACAAACAAAATGAACTAATCACTGTTTTTGTTTTTATTAGCTTTTCACATACTGTCCAACTTTGAAGTGAGGTTTGTAATATAATATAATATAATATAATATAATATAATCATTAATATTTACAAAGTAATGTACATATTTTGTTATATATATTTACAGAAGGTGCTATATAAATAAAGTTGAGATGAGTTAAGTATAATACATCGTCGCTGTCAGAACAGAAGCCTTATATCTTCAAAAAGGCCAAAATTTCCAAAGAAGTTGGGATGCTGCACAGAAAATACTACAAAGATAACATATCAATTGTTGAAATCAAGAAATTGTTTTGTTTTTTGAAAAATATATGCCCATTTTGAATTTGATGTTTACCACTGTGTTTCATCACCTCTTCTTTTAACAGCACTGTGTAAGTGATTGGGAACTGAGGAGACCAAATGCTGTAGTTTTAAAAGTAAAATGTTTTCCCATTCTTGCTTGATATAGGATTTCAGCTGCTCAACAGTTCAGGGTCTCATTTGTCATATTTTTCAATTAATAATGCACCAAATGTTTTCAGGGAGTGATAGTTTTGGACTGCAGGCCAGCTGGTTTAGCACCCAGACTCTTTTACTAAGGAGCCATGCTGCTGTAATACATGCAAAATGTGATTTGGCATTGTCTCCCTGAAATAATCAAGGCCTTCCCTGAAAGAGATTTCATCTGGATGGCAGCATATGTTGCCAAAACATGTATATATTGTTCAGCGTTAATGGTGTCTTCACAGATGTGCACATCACCCATGCCATGTGCAATAATACACCTCTATCATGAATACTGCCTTTTAAACTGTGCACTGATAACAAGCTAAGTGGTCTTTAGCCCAGAGGGCACAGTGTCCATGATTTCAAACGTTCATTCGTCAGACCACAGGACACTTTTCCACTTCCCCACAGTCCATTTTAAATGAGCTCGGGACCAGAGAAGGTGGCAACATTTCTGGATCTTGTTCATATATGGTTTCTTCTTTGCGTTTTAGAGTTTTAACTTGCTTTTATGGATGCAGCGACAAACTGTTTTCACAGACAGTGGCTTTCAGAAGTGTTTCTGAGCCCATGCAGTGATTTCCACTAGAGAATCAGTCTGTTTTTAATGCAGTTCCACCTTAGGGCCAAAGATTATAACCAGCAAATACTGGTTTTTGGCCTTGTCCCTTGCATACACAGATTTCTCCAGATTCTCTGAATCTTTTAATGATATTTGAGAAATATTATTCTTGAATTGTTACACTATTTGCCTGCACAGTCTTTCACAGAGTGGTGAACCCCTTCCCATCTTTACTTCTAAAAGACTCAGCCTTTTTATACCCAATCATGTTACTGACCTGTTGCCAATCAACTACCCGGTGGTTTTTTAACATTACATAACTTTACCAGCCTTTTGTTGCCCCCGTCCCAACTTTTTTGGAACTTGTTGTTGGCATCAAATTCAAAATGGGCAAATATTTTTCAAAAAACAATAAAGTTTTTCTGTTTCAACAGTTGATATGTTGTCTTTGTACTGTTTTCAATTAAATATAGGGTTTAAATGATCTGCACATTTGATTTGTTTTTATTTACATTTTGCACAGCGTCCCAACTTTTTTGGAAATGGGGTTATATAAATGGCAACAATTCAGATATAAGGTTTTGCTTCAATAGCAACATACCTGATAACACTGTCACTGTCAACGGTTAACTTAGGTCACTGGTTTCACATACAGTTAAAGGTTTCTCTGTTAGCTTCATTATCAATTAATATAGTCTGGGCTACAACTGACTGGAGTGTCCTATAATTATGTATTTCATAACAAAGCCATTTATTATCCTGTTGAAAGATGTAGTGATTAAAGGTCTGTGTGGTCAGAGGGAAAGCTCTTGTTAGAGAGAAGAGGGACGCTGTACCTGGTTGATGAAAGGTGCCAGGTTTCTGTTGGATGCAGCCCAAATGGAAACCAAAGCCAACGGTGCCTCTCTGTAGCACGCACAGTCTGACATTGGCCTCCACCCGCAGTTCCTCCTGAGCTTCAGCCGAGGGGCGCTGCCAGCTTCACCACTGCTGCAGGCTTTTCTTTCTGCTCTTTGGCAGGTGCATCTTCCTCAGTGAAGAGCAGAGGAGACAAACCCAGCTGAGGAAAAATGTAAAGTAAAAAGAAATCATTTGTACGTGTAGCTGGAGAGTTTCATATACACGTCTCACATTCTCTAATGATTCAGCAATAATCAATAATAAATCCTTTCATTTAAAAACTATCCTTATCTCAATCTCTATCCTTACCTAAATCTCAAATGCCCTGCATTTCTAAAATAGAGATAGATAATCTGTATCTTTGTAGTTTTTATTTTATAATATATTATTAATTATATATCTATGTTATTCATCATTTAATATCATTTACCATGTCAAAATTCCAGACTCATGAACAGTAGTGTACATAACGCCTTCCTCAGGGTTGCTTTACATATGGGGAAGGCGAGGCAAAGCAATGTGACCAATACAGCTTAACCATAGCTGTAAGTCTGTCCTTATAATGGACTGATGATGAGTTTGTATCTTGAAATACTGATTACTTCACTGAGACATACAAAACACTTCATGTATCACGTTTCCAATTGTCCCTCAAACTCACTCACCTTAGTGTAGAAGTCTTGGCCGTGGAGAGTCATAGTCGTGATTGTCACCTGTTGTCCACTCTGTCTGAATAGGCTGACCACATCCTCATGACTCAGATGTTCAGTGGACTCTCCGTTCACCTCCAGCAGAAGCTCCCCATCCTTAACACCTGCCAGCTCTGCAGGACTGCCTGCCTCCACATCTCGCAGCATGTGAACTAGACAAACAGACACAAACACAAATATGTGGAATGGAATATAAATAATTATCTCATCTCAGCTTATTTGTGTTTTGTCTGTGCTATGTTGTTTTGTGCACTGTTAGATGTGAAGCACCACATGGAACTGGCTTGTAACTACACTGTAAAAAAATTGGGCTTTTAACTTAAAAAACATACTGGTGAAGCTGCCTTTAAATTTTGAATTAACCTCTAATAGTAAGTTGACATAAGAAAAATCTGTTTCACACCCAGTCAACTTGTTACTTGAATCTCATATACCTTAAAATTTGAAGGCATCCCCAACAGAAAATATTTTAATTGAAAACCCAAATTATTTTTTACTGGCTTTCTCACTCACATTTAGCAGGCTAAAAACTCTCCCCAAGGGGGCAGCAGTAGCAGTCAGACAGCTTTTGATGCTTCATAAAAGCAGTCTTCACATCAACAAAACTGTTTCTCTATTACTTTTGCCTTACTATTTTTAACTAGTAGCATCTGTGAACTATGTAAAACTAACAACATCCTTGAACAGGAAGTAGTCTGCGAAAAAATTATGTTTTCGTATGTCCTGTAGGACAACATGTTCATTTTCTTTTCTTTTCTTATATCTTTGTTGCAGTGAATACGTGTTCACAGGAGTGATAAATCACACTTCACTAACTGCCAGTTTGAAGGAGAAATCTGAGTTTGGCAAATTCCAAGAGAGTGCTACCCAACAGTAGCCCATGCATAGTGCCAACCATATACTGAAGAATTTTCTGTTTTATTGTTCATAGCTGCATTCATAATGGACTTCAAAAAATACCTGAAAAACATGTTATAACAGTGCACAGTATTTTCTTGATTAAACAATAAAACAATGAGTTTTCACAATTTGAGCTTTTAGATGCAAATTTACACATATTTAAAGCTACACTGTGTACGTTTTGGGCATTTGGAGACCTCTCTGGTAGAAATGTGTAATTGCAAGCAACATGTGCAAGAACATTTTGGAATGTTGGTTGTGCTTCAGACCCCCATGAGCAGACTGCATGTTGAGTGTCTTCATAGGTATAATGCTGATTGTGCATTTGAGACCTAAACATCGAGCTTGACCTTCTTTTTGAGACTGTACATGTGAAGACGTATGACGTGGTCCAAAAAACTAAAAGAATTCGACCAGACACCTCTGAGTTTTGAATTATTACAGACTTTACATGGCATGTGTGTTTATTTCTCCTGACTCTGAAATGTCACTTTATAAGAAGTGTATAAAGTGCATACTGCACTTACAATGTACAGCCTTAACCTCTTTTTCACCAGGGTATATTTTGGTTTTTCCATCTGAATTTACATAACCAAATCATAAGGCAAATTATTCAGTAACTGCATGAAATAAATGTAAATTTTTATTTTATGTATTTACTTTATGTATTTTTTGTAAAAGTTCCCCTCAAATGAACAGAACATGTGTTTTATGATCATACACATATTGCTATATGCTTACAATTTACTGCTGAAAGCCAGATATCTTAGACGCTCTTTGTATTATTTTATAAACATAATTTTTACAGAGCAGATCACTGAAGATACGCCATCGGTTTATAGTTTATAGCCCAGATTTGTGGAAAAATGGGTCGACTTTCAGTAGACAAAACAAATAGTTCAGCTTCTTTTATTATAAAGGTTTAAAATTACATCACCCATCTATTTGACTGGAAAGAAGACAGTTACAGCTCTCATATGACACCCACCTTTTGAATGGAACGTTATGAAGAATATTATGAAGTGCGTTTTGGAACCAAAATGGTCTCAAGGAGTTGAAAAGGTTAATTATCATTTGCATCTATAAATGTAATTTAATTATATTTTCAATACAAGCAATACTTGTAAGAATAACAGTCATCATCTGGCTAATATTTTTTAATCTATTGTTCCAAAAAATGCTCTATTCACCCATAGTGTCTCACCTTAAGCTAACTGTTGCATGAATCCATGCAAAACTACAGAGCAAAAACTAGAAATCCCATCAAAATGTGTGGGAGGAGCAACAGGGCAGTGTATTAGTTTGCACTCATTTGAATCTACTTTTTCTGAATTTTACAGTGTTGATAATTAAACTCAAAAAATCTGAGAAGACTTTTAACAACATGTTGCGTTAAGAACTTGATGCTAATGGTTCACACTATTATTTTGTTAAAATAGAAACCAAATTTAATGGACTTTTACAGTGGACCCACATGTGTGTGTGTCTCTCACCTAAGCGTCCTGCTGAGGTTTTCTCTTGTCTGAGGTAGAAGCCATAGCCGTCTGGGCCCTGCTCCAGGTGCAGTCTCCTGGGCCTGTGTGGCATGCTCTGTGCATCGGCCATAGCGGGCAGAATGAGCATCCGCCTGCGGACATAACTCTTCTCACTTTCGCTGTCTATCACCAGCACAGTCATGTGATCGCTGCACTTCTTCACCTGAAGGGGTACAGATAATGTCAAAAGGCAACAGTTATGATTTGTATTTTTTTGTTTTCTGTTTTTGTTTTATTTTGTTGTGCAGTTGGTTTAGGAACGTTAATTAGCTTGTACAAAAAAGTATCTCCTCTTAGGTAAAATGAGGCACATCACATTCATGAAGCAGTCAGGGCTGAAATGTATGGAACAAACTCTTAGAAAAAACAAACTTCCTTTGAAAGGCTACAATCGTACAGGCAATGTTTAAAGGGAAATTCCACCAATTTTTCAAAGTTTCTGCTTAATTAAACATTTGAGGTGTAATCCGGGTCATTCAGAGTGGTTAGATGTGAAATACTCCATTCAAGAGAAGCATATCATTTTAGAATTGTTTACAGCTCCCTCACAGAAGGTTACATGAAATGGTCATGACTGCACTGTCTGATACCTGAGATATTGTTTTACAATAGTTATGGGATAAGCTTTTGGCCTAAAATGTATTTTTTATCCATTCAATGTACATCATGCAGGATGTTTCAAGAAAAACTGTTATCATTATCAACATTACATTATCATAAACAAAATCAGAAGACATGAGTAGGTTCACTGGTGGTTTTAGATAGTAAGTAAAATGGCAGTATTTGTATTTGACATCATGACTCCTGGTTCCTATCACCACCACTGTAAAGAAATCTGAATCTGTGAGTTTCCTACAATGCACCATTGTATTTCAAACCATTCATAATGACTTTGTTTTGAAAAAATTCCCCACATATTTTGGTTTTGTAACTCTTCTACAGACGGTCTGCAGTAACAACACTCCTTATCACTTTAACATGAATGAGCGAACATGAATAGTGTAGGTTGAATGGGGAGTCATATGTAAACTCACTCACAGTTGTTATCTTACAGCCATGATGAATTCAGACTTATTTTGGAGCCTAATTTCCATATATGAACTATATGTAATGAGGAGTGAATGGTACATTTTAAACCAGGCATTGCTGAAACTGCACTCTGGCCAATCCGGTCCTAGCTCTAAACGTACTAACACGGAATGATGTAAATTAAAATATCGTTGCAATAATTTTTGCAAAGGCTGTTGCTGAAATATTGATTATTAACTTGTCAGTTGCAGCAATTCCTACTTGAGCTTTAAACAGTTATTATATATGCCCACCATCTTGCTTATAGCAGAATGTGTAAGCTCGCAAGCCATGGCGCCATTGATCCAGATCAGCCGGTCTGCTTTTCTCACTCCGGCCTTCTCTGCAGGCCCTCCAGTTACTGGACTTATGGTGAATTTGCCTTTCTCACCTACAGATGGCACACGCGACACAAAAGTAACAGCATAAAAGTGAGACATCAAAGATGTGAAAATCTTTCATTGACATAAATGAAAGATTGATGCCCCACATAACCATTCAATACAGGCCAAACTAGTATATACAGTCGTATGCAAAGGTTTGAACACCGCTGGTCAAATTATGTATTAATTTTATTCATTTTTTGAAGTGAAAAATAAGTTAACACAACTTTACAGAGAACAAATGTGAATATGGCATTTTTCTGGAATTTTACTGCACAATTTGTAATCTTACTGAGTTTAAGATATTGGAAAAAAAACATAAAAATATAAAACGCGCCATAATTATTACACAATGAAACATTTTATGTTGCATTTTATATGTTAAATTCTGCAAATTAACAGTAACTGTGCATTATAATGTACTGAAGTGTGTTATCTGTAGAGGATGTTACCTCATATTCACGTAGAAAATCAACCAGGCCATCTGACCAGGGCATCCAAACTTTTGCATATAACTCTATATACCTGCATCAAATTTTGACAACATGCTTCTTTTTATATCTTATTTTCTGAGTTATAAAGTAAGTATAATGTACCTGGACTGTTTTTTTTTTTAGCATAAGGATCAAAAAGGTAGCACTCAGCTTCATATTCATCAAAGTGCTGTCTCTATTATGAAGAGCAGATTCAGCTTTCTTCTCCAAATTATTGTTAAAAACACATATTGAAACTGTTTTGGCCTCAAAGGAGGATTAAACAGCTTAAAGGTTTGAGCGCTGACATCAAAACAATGGAGTTTGGCATTATATCCAAGAGATTGATCGACCTCACCCTCCACAGGCAAGATGCTGAAGCCCAGGCCAGTCACTGGGTCTCTGGTGATGTGGCAGAGACGAGGGGGCTTCCAACCCTCCCCCCGCTGGGCACCGGCCAGTTCTCTCAGGTCTCGGCCCTGAGCCACAGCCTGCTCATACTCCTCCCCGTCCAGCACCAGCAGACACAGCTGAGGTCCACTCACCTGGATCTTACCGGCCACCTGAGAAGACAGAGAGAGAGAGAGAGAGAGAGAGGAGAGAGAGACAATATGGACAGGCTAGTAGTTAAAGACTGAGTAGTTTTTGAGCTGTGCATCTGTCTGTTTTGTGACTGGCTTATTAGGCTTTCAGTGCTTCGTTCCTGCAAATATAACTTCATCACGTGCCATAGGAGCACAGGAGGCATGGTCATTTAATGTGGCCATGTAAATAGGCTCTTGGGAGGCGCTGCGCTCGTGATAAGGAAAGACACTTAATGTTCGTGTTGTTGCTGTTCGGTTTGAGATGTGTTTATGTGTTGTTTGTGCTGTTATGTGTTGGGCTTTGGGATAGTGGGAGTGGGTCTAAGTGTCTACAATGAAGTGAAGGTGCATGGGTAGAGGTGACCTGCCTGCTATCCCTGCAGATTAGTTGGCACTGGGCAGCAGTTTTCCCTTACTGCCTGTTCAATAAAAGAGCATTTGCCCACATGCACAAAGTTTTCCTTTCTTCTCCTGGACACTACATGGTTAACGCAATCATGTTGTCAATATGCATAGAGTCCGTTTGAGATATTATGCTGTGTTATGCTCTGCTCCATATTTGTTTTGTCTGTGCGTCTGTTCTGTCTTCCCAGTTGTAGCCTTATTCCATGATCCAGTCTGTGTTTTCAACTCATCACCACTTGCTCCAGCCCATACTCCAGTTTGTGTTCCAGTTCAAGTTCTGGTTATGACATCCTCAGGAGGGAAGAATAAAAGAGGCCTTCTCAGCTCCACCAACAGCTTGCTCACATGGTTCCTTTTGCTTGTTTGATTAATCTCTGACAGTTTGTTTGATTTAGCCTAGGCCACTTAAACCTGTTAGCTTGTTGTATAGTTTGTATATAGAGTCCCTTTTTGTATATTTCATAAATAGCTTCAGGTGTAGTGTTTGGCTGCCATTGTGTTTGAGTTTTGGGTTTTGTCTGTTTTGTGTCAGTCAAAGAGTTAGGTAAGCTGGTTGTCTTTTGTTTATTCTTTTGTTTTGGTTAAGGCTAGTTAGTATCTATCTTGGAGTTAGTGTGGGTTCTGTTTGTTGTTATGAAAATTTGTAGTGAGGAGAACAGCCACACAATAATTTCAGCTGGGTTGATCAGGCGCCAGAGGACGCTCTGAGACAGAGGTCTAAACTTGCAACATAGAAAAGCATAAAATGAATAATGAATAATATATATTTCAACTCTGCTGCCATATTTTTAATGTTTTTCAACTCCAATTGAGTGTGAAGCACTTTACTTGGCCATTGAGCTGATCAGCTCTCCAATCAGGCAGCACAAAAGCCTATTTGCTGTAGAATCACAGAAAGATAGTAAGTTTTCATTGATTTTTAATGTGATGATTTCTTCTTTTTTTCCCAAAATAAAAAGAGGTTCCTGCAAGAAAGACTGAAAATACAGTATATTCAGTTATTACTTTTAGCAGTTTTGCTCCCTCTTCTTTAAAAACTTGCTCACTAAATAGCTACCCAACTATTTTCTGTGTTGAAACTGAGCCAGTTAAGAAAGCTCTCTGAACTAGAGGAGATGACAAATGTGACAAAGAAGGCAACATGTTCTGTACGGTGCTGAATGGGGTGGGTAAAGTGGAGCTTTGTCTTATTCAGGGTTTAACATACCGAATGATAAGAAAAAATACATAGTGAAAAGATTTTTGTCCATATTTCATCAACAGGGACCTCTGTGCTGGTCAGAACTCACCTCCACATGCCCAAGGTCATCCACAAACAGCTCATTGACCTCCAGGAGCCGGTCCCCGTCCCTCAGGCCTGCCCTCTCGGCCACGCCCAATGTATCCACATGTCTGACCACGTGACCTGGCCGCCCTCTCTCCACACGCAGGTGAAAGCCGAAATTCTCTCCTTCCTCCCTCTTCAGCACACACACCCGGGGCAAGGGGCCGGACACCCTCTCTAGTTAAAGACCATTCTCAGTCAGCATAGCATGCAACATGCTAAATATAATACAACACATTGGACTAATATATCACATGAAATACAGTCCAGTGTACAATCAGGATCCAAATTACTTCATTCTTAGGCAATGTGTGCTTGTGGGTGTGTCAAAAATTGGAACAGACAAACCCAAACAGCTTTCCTAGAGCAGAAAAAAGCATGCATAACTTTACATACCTGCATCTTCGGCGATGTCCATGGCTGGATTGTCAATTCCTTCCTTCAGATTGAAGACAAATCTGCTTAGTGTACATTAAAAGAAAATCCACCTGATAAGTCTGCCTACTAGGAGCCAATGAAATACAAAATGGATCCATAAAACCATAAAGCAGTTAGCTGTCATCAGAATTAGCCACATATTAGCAGGCCTTTGATTGGACATTAGATAATAAGGCATAATACAGACTGTGCACATGTGTTAACACACAGGCAGAGGGTTCAAAGCTGAAGGGTCAGTTAGAGAGTACAGGCCTAAGAAAGTGTTCATTTGTTGCACATTATCACAATAAAATATCCAGACTTTGTAGGAAAGTAGAGAAAACAGGGCTAATTTACAATATTAGGACGAATTGTCCTGACTTTGTAAAGTGCTTTTTCTTAAAAGCTACATGTGTTTATCTTTTAACTGAAAGGTAAAACCATTTTTTTCTGGTTACTGAAGTTAAGGTTAGGGTCCTGCTTAGAAAATTCTTGTTACTCTTAAAGTTGGATACCACCCTTCATTTATTTAATTCCCAGTCAAACAAAAGTGATTGATTTCTTAGGAGATATTTCTGAGGATATTAGAAAGAAGATAATCCACTCACATAAAGGAATGGGAAGGTCAAAGGAAAACAAGTGATATAACAGAAGTTTCCCAAAGTAGAGTTTAAACACCTCAGTGTCACTGCTGGACTGAGAATAGTTCATCAACCAAAAATATCTAGCCAACAGCTTCATGTGGGCAGCGTCCTGTGACCACTGATGAAGGACTAGAGGATGACCAACACAAACTGTGCAGCAGCAGATGAGCTATCGTCTCTGACTTTACATCTACAAGGTGGACTGACAAGGTAGGAGTGTCTAATAGAGTGGACAGTGAGTGGACACAGTGTTTAAAAACTCCAGCAGCACTGCTGTGTCTGATTCACTCGTACCAGCACAACACACACTAACACATCACCACCACATCAGTGTTACTGCAGTGCCGAGAATGATCCACCACCCACATAGTACCTGCTCTGTGAGTGTCCATGGGGGTTCTGACCACTGAAGAACAGGGTAAAAGGGGGCTAACAAAGTATGCAGAGAAACAGATGGACTACAGTCTGTAATTGTAGAACTACAAAGTGCACCTATACAGTATGTGGAGCTGATAAAATGGACAATGAGCGTAGAAACAAGGAGGTGATCATAATGTTATGCCTGATTGGTGAATGATCCCACATCCTAATGTTGTATAGACTGTTATTAAAGCATAAAACATAAATAAAGGTGCCACTTACTCGGTCAGTTCCATGGCATTTTCCAGCACTGAAGAAAACAGAAACAAGCTTAGAAGTTAGATGAAACATGAAAACAGGCAGGAACCACACAGGAATATGCTGGCCACAACATTATCACTTACTTTGAATTGAACTAAGGGACACTTTTAACAACTGGGCAATGTTTAGCCCTGGACCTTCAATGGTAATGTGCTTTCATTTGCGTATGTTGGTCCTAAATCAGTCAACCAGTGCAAACATTCATGCAAACTCTATAGCCCTGAGGTGTCTTTGGACTTCCTCTTTGTCTGATCAGCCATGGAGCAAACTCATGCCAGCCAGGCTTGCTTACCAAACTATGCCAGGATGTTAACAAGCCATAAATAATCAAAACAATATTTGTCCTTGGCTGTGCCAGGCTTTGGTCAAACACACAGTTCAACATGCTTTGTGTGGGTCTCCTGTCTACAGTCCCAAATGCACCATTTATATCTGCTTTGTAAGTATTGAAGTCACCCTGTTTGTCACCCTCAATGTCAATGTGAAAGTCAATGTGACTTAGAAATAATGCATTTTCTTTCCATGACATTTTCAAAGGGAAAATTTGTAAACATATGCTCTACAAGGAACAAACTTAACTAGAAAGCAAACATTCATGAACAAACTTTGTTGGCTTAAAAGCTTAAAAAGTTAAAGCAGTTGACTGCTTTTGATAACTTAACAGGGTTTATATTTTAATTCCCGGTAGTGATGTTGCTACAAGGTTGCTATGGTATTTCAGCTTGTTGTTATGGTATTGTTTGGTGGTTGTTAGGTGGCTGCTAAGGTGTTGCTATGTCGTTGCTATGGTATTCCAGGTGGTTGCTAAGGTATCATTAGGCCAATGCTCTAGCATCCCAGATGGTTGCTAGGCTGTTGCTACCATACTTATATGATGGTAATATTAGCGGAGTGTCCAAAAACATTTGACAAAAAATGTGTAGTAAGATGTAGAGGTATAAACATTATATATTGCCTTATAAATAAGGAAATGATGTTGAGTATTCTCCCATTCATTCTTATGGAAACTGTGTTTGAATGAACGATGTACGAACACTGTGAGTTGAATCAGTTAAAAAAAAACACTGGTTACCCATTCAGATTTAGGCTATATGATCCTGCAAAGCTTTGTGGTTCTAGCTCAAAAGCTGTGCGATGAGAAGCGTTGTAAGTTTTTGACTACAGAATAATACTAAGAATAAAACAAAGAACAGTAATTTTGCTTTTTCAAGCCAATAGTCAATATGGCATTTTTCTGGCAATTTTAGTGCACGTTTTCTATTTATTTGCTGAGTTTAACAAATGTGGGAAAAAATGAAACAAACCTTTGCACATGCCACATTTTATGTTTATTTTTTCAGTCACTGTGTATTATAATGCTGTGCAAAAGTGTCTTCTCTGTAGAGGATGTCTATTTATTTTTACTTAGAAAATTAACTAAACATGTAATTTGACACCAAAACATTTGCGTAAGACAGTATTTCAGAAGGAAACACATATGGTGTTATGAAGGATCTTTGAGCTAGCTAAGCATTTTGCTTGATAATAGGTAGGGGTGGTGAGAGGGGAAGGTGAAACATAATACAATATGTTGGTTAATATTATTTTTTCCCACCTGCTGGTGCACGGTGATGTTAACAAAAATCAGATGTTTTTTTGTGGCAGACAAAAGTCACTACACTTCAATCAAAGACTAAAAGAAAACAAGAATTTTGTCTTTTACATGATAAAATGAACTGTGGTTAATGTGACCAGAGACACTGACAAGGTAAAAGAGTAACATGTGACATTCCAACTGACTAAAGCCTAAGAGCTGTGTCTCTTTTGAGGCTTTACTAACTTTAAGATATTTTTCCTTTTATTGATCAAAGGCTGTATCATTACCCCGATATCTAAAAGCCTGTTGTCCTTACACCGAACTTGTAAGGCTAGATACAGTAACAGAAACACAGTTGCCCCAACATATCTGAAGGTCTGAACTGATACTAGAGACAGAGCTAAGCTGGCCAGCCAATCATTGTGTGGATTCACTGATAAAGCACATTCGCATTCATCCAAAACCAAGGCCCTGTTCATAACACTGTGTTCCCTATAGAGGTACAGAGAATTCCTTGCAATCCAGAGCCACTATGAGGCAATGAAAGCTTTGTAGAATGTGTTCAACTCAACCTGGGAATAGTTTTATCAGCAAAGGAAAACAGTGAGTCTGGTTTTCCACACTGTCCACATGCCAGGTCAGGATTGGTGCATACACTGGATGTATGCACTACAATTTAAAATGACACTCTGGCCAAAATGAAAAATGTAATCAACGCTACAGCTGCTCTAAAGAAGCCTAACCACATAGTAAAATTGTGCTGCTATAGTCTCAGAAGTGAGATTTTCCAGTTTAAAGACTAGGAAATCCCCCTTCTGATGACATATTTTGAAGGTAGGAGGAACTTTAAAACACTAAAAGCTTTGCTGGCTTGCTAAAGGGAAATGCAAAAGAAAGCCAGATAGCTAGCAGACTGTTTGGAAGTATGAATGCCACATGTATATATTAGCTCAGGGGCTATGCTAGCAGTCAGGATTTGTTGTATGACATTAGGGATACAAAATCATGAATTCTGTCAGGCCGTTGAGGGTGTGAGATGCAAAGCTGCACTACAGAATTATATATAAATGACAAGTAACACATTAAATTGTAATTTTAGGCTGGATTTCCCCTTTAAATTTAGTGTGTTCCCCAAATCTTTGACCACAAAAGGAAAGTTTTTGTTTAAAGACACTGAAGACATTAAAATAAAAAGGTAATGAATCATTAATTCATTTAACCCATCAAAGCTTTATATCCCGTTTGTGCTCTGAACTGAGTAGTAAAGTAAAAATTCAGCCAAAAATCTAGTTTGCACAGTTTTCCTCTTGATCTACATATAGTCTAGTTCTCTGTTAGCCAGATCATGTTTGGTATCTGAAATTTGAAGCTCTTTTTTGGAATGGTGTGCTGAGGCTAAAGTAGCTAACCAGTAATGAAAGCTAATAGTCACCAGGATAGCATGTGCAAATATGCCTAAATCATCACTTACGTGCCGCAAACCATGTTAAGTTGTTGAGTAATTCCAAATAGAGTTGATTATGTAGTTTCTAACACTACATAACATGCTGTTATCTATAAAAATGGACAAAAGTACATCACATAGATAAAGCCTGAATTTTCATAATGTCATACAGTGCTAGAAACCACATAGGCAAGATTTCCTAACAAACAGTGTGGTTTGCAGTGAACGTCTGATAACATTAGCATGATGCTAATTAGTGGGGTATAAGTCCTACTTTTTTTAAATAAATGATAATGTATGTCAACATTCTTGAACTTTCAAAGTATATTGTTCACTTTCCAGCCCATACAACCCATATATATGGAAACTAAGCTGAAAAACAGCCTGTTTTGAATTCATTGCTTTTGTGATGTGACAAAAACCAACAGATTTACATATATCTATCTATTCTGCCTACAACATTTAGTCCCACCCACTCACATTGAAGTTATAAGGAGCGTTTCAGCCTGGACTGCTTTTTGAATGAGGCACAATACAGGGCAGCCAATCAGAACAGTGCTGATTTACATATACCAGTCTTAAAGAAACAGTAACAAAAACAGCCTGTTTTAATTCTAACTGATAAAGTAAGGAATACGGAAAAGACAAATGTAGGATATCTTTATTAATACTGCTTCAGCTTAGCTTAACTGGGAAGCCACTGTCTTGAATACGTTATTTACAACATACACAGTCTAGGAACATCATGCTGACATCGTGTTACAGAAGAAGAAGGAGCAAATGTGCTCTGACTCAGCAGGATTTGAAAGACATTAAACAATCCAATCAATAATAATATTTTAGAGCCATTCAGTGTGGACTAACATTAAGGCAGGGGAAGAGAGAAGCACTTCATGGCTCATAACAAATGATAAAAGAAAGGTAAAAAAGAGGTGAGATTACCTGGGAAGTGCGTTACTCTCATGGTGGCTGGAGTTTGTGTCCTTGTCTGAGTAGAGGAGGTGACAGATGGACAGAAAGCACCTCCTCTTTCCACACCAGCAGTCATTTAATGGTTAATCTCTCTCCCTGTGTGAATGTGTGTTCTACGAGAAAGGGGCATACTGTTCTAAAACCCTCTAAACACACACATACACATCCTTGTGCGCACACATACACACGTATCATCTCAGAAAAATGTGCTGCACTCCTATAGTGTTAACTTACACATGCACGCACAAGACTTATGCTGGTTCTCTTGGTTAAAGCCAGCAACTTAAAAGACATAGCCATAAGGGTGTACAGCTAAGTATGGTGCTGTTGTCACATATAGTCATACAGTGTGGCAGCTTCCCTTATGAAAATAAAATGTCATTATTTGTTGTCAGTACATTCCAAATTACTAGGAAAAGCAAGAATATCTTGTAATACATTGTTGCTGTTGGAAACAAAATCTTATCAATAAACAATCCAAAACAATAACTTTAAAGGAGAAGGAAAACCTTTTTATGGTTGCTAACTTTGCGTAGGTGACTAGAGTGAGATTTTTAGGTAGCTGGAGTGAGACTGCATGTACAGGAAAAGCAGGAGAAGGAATCTGAGACATTCCCAAGCATTGCATAAAGCAGCGTTCACATTATGGTGAAAAATGTGCACCAGTGGTCACTTTGAGCAGGGGTAAAATTTAACTACTGTAGTGCTCAAAGCAGTGAAACACTAATGAGAGAAACTGAAAGAAATACGTATGCAAAACCTTTCCTCTGACCATGTGCATGCTGCTTAAAGTCTCAGGGAACTTAAAATATTTTAAATATTAGTAAGATACTAAAATTTAGTATTATTTTAAACATCAAGTGGAAGTAAGAAAAAAAAGAAATATAGAAATATAGAAAGAAATCTAATAAGAAACAGCTTAAAAACTGCTGTTCATATACCTATTCCATCATATACCTATTATATAAGAGGAGTGCTATAGACTCCACATACATCAAACTCAAGATCTAATCATATAAATTTAATGGAATAAAACTTAAAATATCATTAAGTGGAGTTATTACAGTTATCATGTTTGGAAGTAGCTAACTAGCTCCTCACAAACACCTCATGGGCATCAGGATGAAACTACTGCACCACATCAGGGGGAACAGAAAATTAGAGTAAGAAGTAAATCTCAGCATTGGGTTGATGTTAATGATATTACCACTAACATTACCGATAAACAAACCTTTGCTCAGTTGTAAGCTTTTGCTTGGTTGTTAGCTTTCGCCCAATCATTAGCTTTTTTAGTAGGATGTTCCCCTTGTGGGATGGAGTGGAGAGTGATCTTGGAGTGAGAAAGGCAACCCCCACGCTCCAGCTTTCTAAAGCCACTCCTTGCTCTACACAAAATCACACCACTCTGCTTACTCTGGCCACACTAGTGACATAAAGAAAGGCAGAGCTGCAGGAGACATAGCCAGTGTCTTGAGTGTCTATGACATAATCTAATCTAATGTCATCATGCAGAAGAACACTGCTTTAGAAAAGACCGACCACTGTTTCACATGAGAGTTGGCAACCGTCTATTGTTAACTTTCAATGTTAATGAATTGATTAGTTCCATTAAGTTAATGTCACTTTTAATGTTAAGGGTAATATTCACAATTTAATGTAAAGAGATTTTATTCCAAGTAATTTTGTAGCCTTCGTCCATTCATCATAACATTTCTTGTTCAGATTTTATAGAAAAATTTAAAAATGACAAAAAGAAAAGTTTTGTTCAGACAGCAACAGTATACATATTACAATACATTATTATACCCACAGTCAAAAAGTAATTACTCATATCAAACATGTCATACACTGTTGTTTAGCAGTTGTTCATGATGTGTTTATCCTATCTGTCTGACAAATGACAGACATTCCAACAAGACTAGTGGTGAATCAGGACTTAGAGCTAGGACTTCAGTTTGGGCCATAAATATGGGCCAAAACAAACACCTCTGTGATAATGCTACCTCTGTGGTAGGTGGTGACATGGTTTCTAATAGTATGTTATAATAGTATGTTAGATCAAACATTTGAAGCTTCTAAAAGACGTTTCATCTTTTATTTGTAGCTTGTTACATTAACATTAACATATACTGTACTGCAGTAAACAATAAGTAAACAGCCCTGGTATAAAGCTGCTGCTGCTGTTTTTCATTTCTATCAACTGACTTACTGACCTAATATGTTTCTCAATATGCATTCTTGTGTGTTCACATTCCTGCTTTCTGAGTGTTCATTGGTCAGTTTCACACAAAAGGTAGACAGACACACAAATCTCCCCATTAGAGAGGCTGATGATATGTATCTCAACCCTTTCCATAGGTTCATAGCTGCAGATGGAAGTCACGTACAGTCTTGTGATAGGGTGGAATTGGAAGGGCAGACTCTACAGATTCAGCAAATGTTTGAATTGTATTTTTGTGCTGTATTATCACAAAGATAGAGAAACACATATAGAAACATGGAATTTGACGTATGGGTGCATCTATTGACCCCAGAGGGTGTCAAGCGTTAAGTCCAGCATACTTTAAGCGTACTTTCCTAAAGTTTTTTAAGTGATTTAAAGGAACCACTTCCCACACACTCTTCACTGCTGTCCACAGACCAGCCATAGTGATTATTTATTCCCTGTACATATTTCTCACTGTTGCACTAAAGGATCTCAATGAGTTTTAAATTGTGTCGAATTTCACTTAATGAACCGCATAGCGTCTCACATTGTCTCGTCGGAATATCCATCATTTGCTATGGTTTTCCTCTTTTAACTACACAGACAGGATACACAGTTGATAAATATCAGTGTATGACATGCACGTGTGCAGTTTTTTGACCGCCAGTTTAAAATACAATAAAAAAGCGATTACAAATCAGATTTATTCCTTAATGTATTACTTTTTTGTATAGTTTGGTGCAGTTTATATTTTTCTTAGTTCATCCTTTGTGACTGGTGCATAGAGCCATGAGGTTAAGATAAAAGAGAGGAAGAAAAAAAAAACACCAAAACCAAAAACACCTGCAAAACAAACCCACAGCTAAGGTCAAACTTCTTATAGTTACATAATGTTTCAATTAAGTGAGAAAAAATACCTGCAAAGGCTTTGTTACTACAAAAAAGCTATTTGCTAACATGAATTTGGGTATATTTTGCAGTACTCAGCTTCATGTTCAAGTCTTTCTTTTCCGACCTATTTTCAAAATCACATATTGAAAATCTTTTGTAAACATCTGAAAGGGTTGCGTGCTATTAACCCAACAATGTATGTTCTTTGGCATTATTTACAAACTAAGTACAAATATTTACATGTGACATGTGATATTGTTTTCCTCAAAATAAACCTGGTGAGTCTTTAATACAGCAGATTATTTAAAGAAAGTCCTTAAAGCAAACATACTCATTTGCATTGAAAACATTTTGAAAAGACAGATGTCTGCAAACTTTTGATGCTCACTATTGCAGTGCACCAGTACTCATGTTTCTAGATTATTAAATACCATAAAGTAAAAAAATAAACAATAAAACACATCGCTACTGTAAGCACAATGAAACACAAGGAAAACACAGAAGCCAAAGCTCATGTGATTTATTGGGTCCTGTGGCATGCCATATACCTCTCACTGTATTTGTGAGTTACCATAAATCACCACTAGGGGTCTCTGTCATAGCAAACACAAACATGTCTGGAGGCCTTGGCTGAATTGTGGCACTTGTCCAGCCTAGTCCAGACATGGCAGCAAGTCCTCCAGTGACCTACTATACAATTATAGAGAAGTATGCTTCCCTAAAAAGTCTTGGGAAATATTCTTAGTTGCATTTTTGCACTTTACATCCTTTTTGAAAGAAACAGTAGTTTTTGCCATAAAATCAAAGGTAGTCGGCAAAGCCTGGATTTAGTCTGTACTTTTGTCCATTTTTATAGATAACAGTATGTCATGAGGTTGTGAAATGGGTGTTGTAGTTTATTAGCTAGCTGGCATTTATCCCTTTTGGCCTCTTTTATTGGTGTTTTGAACGCATGTGAAGCAAAAATAAAATGTCAGTTTACTGTACATTATTAAAATTCGCTTTCCTATGACCATTTGTTGTACTTGTACAGCTGATTGCTTTCCATTGTTTGGCTGTTTGCTTCTATCCTCCACCATGATGAAAATCCCATTGATGTCACAACTTGGCCAAAATTTCAACATACCTGACTTAAGCATCCAACTTTGAAGGGTGTTTATGTGGTGCCTCCTGGTGGGAAACTCCTTTTTCCCGATAAAACCAAGACCATGAAATCAGCTTAAGCTTACATTTCTCATGCGCTACATTAGCCTCCAACACAAAATGGGAAAAAGATGAAAGAAAAAAATGAGTACATTTAATTCTTTACCACACTATCACAAAACATAAAAACAGATGGCAAACAAAAGGAAAACTTAAACAAATGGGTGGAGAAGTATAGTGCACCATGCTCTTTGGCATGTTGAAAATGCTATGCGGACCCAGTTGAGCTCAATTTAAGATCAAGATGGCATTACGAAAAGATCTAAGTGTGTCAACTGGCTTCTGCTTCAGTAGGAACAGTAACTAAAGTGACATCTATGGGAAAGACATCAGGAAATGTGTGGTCGAAAGCACACATTCAGTGACCGTGATGCTTGTGCAATAGTGCCATATGCACGGAAAACAGATCAGCAGTTCCTTGGGCAACTGAGAATGTCAATGCAAGATGTGCTGAATAAATCTTTGTGAAGTCATCAGGACTGGTCAGAAACGTGAAAAAAGTGATAGTCGTCCTTCCCCACGCTTTCCACAGGTGGGCGAGTGCTTGCACAGCATACACCAAGACAGGTACAGGCCTGAATGCTTGATCTCTTCATTGGGGTGACCCTGTGACAATGTAATGCTGTGGGGGCATTTTGCTAGCACTGTTTGGGTCCACTTGTCCCTTTAAAGGGAAGGGTCACTACAAATCAACACAAATTTG